TAAAGAATTAAAAAAAGATTTTGGAGGCTCTGCCATACGCGTGTATGTGTAAGCTGTACACCCTCACCTCTTAGGGCTGCAGCAGTACAGCTCTTCCACCAGTGCATGCACCCAGCACACTCCATGGGCAGGGCCAGGCTTTCCCTGGCCTGCCAGCCTGCCTGTGGCATGCTGCCTTTCCTGAGCTGCCTCTCCCGAGCCCGTGCTGGCTGCCCTGAGCAGCTTCTGTGGAAATGGGCCGGCAGCTGGAACGGGGAGATAAGCAGCAGCCTGGCAGTGCAAACTCAGGGGTCACAGCTGCTGCATAATGAGCAAAGAGTGAGTGCACAGAGCTGCAAGCCAGGTCTGAGGAGCTGTAGGAAAGCACTGGAGCCATTACCAGCCTCACATTGTACTACTCTGGGCTTTAGCTGTGTTTCTGCAAGGAAGCAGACCTGCTGTAGAGTACTAGGAGAAATGTGTGTTTTAAACAATATCTGCCTTAAGAAAAGCAAACGTACGGCTTAGTGTGAAAGCAGCTAGGAGCCTGGAATAAACTCAGATTAGACACTTCCATAGACTATAAATCAGCTGTAATGTTTTGGTTTGACAACTTTGTTAAAGGAGCTTTTCCACTGCTTTCTAAATAGGGATAGACTGATTGCTCCAGGTTTCATTTGGTTCAGGCTGTTGAGACACTTAAATGACCTAATAGCATCTGTGTGTGTGTGATTGCTCATGGGAATGGCTGGACGGGGTCAGCATGTTGGGTGGCAGGAGACCCCTGAGATTAGCTCAGTTGGTTAGGGCATAATGCTAATGCCAGGGTTGTGGGTTTGATCCCTGTATGTGCCATTCACTTAAGACTCGATGATCCTTGTGGGTCCCTTCCAACTCAGAACATTCTGTGAAATGAGAGAAGGGGGAGACTGAAGGAGTTCACCTTGTGTTTTCTGTTTGGGGGGCTCTAGCCCTTCACACAGACCTAGCCAAGAAAGGGCAGGCTCGGAGAGAAGACACAGTGGCCGTGTGAGAGGCCCTGCCTGTTTGTTCTCAGCTGTTTCACCTTTATTCTAAAAGCTGGAATCCTGCTCTGGGGTAGATGACAGAGTAGTAGGTGGAATGTGTCTCCTCTTGCCTACTCATTTAGGCCCTCTCTCAAGTCAGGGGTGGGTGCTTCCAGGCTCAGATCATGGACCTGAGCATGGGACAGCTTGTTCTTCACTGGCACGTGGCTTCAGAGGCAGCACACAAGTAGCTCAATCATGTTAGTTCCTGTGGCAGATTCAGCAGGATCGTGCTTATGATGAGAAAATTAGAAGTAGTGAGGCCTGTTTTGAAGTGAACCTTTCCCTGTGTTCCCGTTGTGCTGTCCACACCTGTGGCAGCATGGGATTGCTGGTCAGCAGCGCCCTCTTCCCTCTTTTGCTCGCAGGCCTGCGGTGGTGGACAAGAAAGGAGACCTGGCGACGCTCAATGAGGTGGGCTACCAGCTCCGCATCTAACAAAGCCATAATGGACAGAGGGCTTCCTGCTGCTTCCCACTGCACTTTACCTGCACTCCGTTGGAAAGGAAAAGGAATGGACTATTTATTAACTTATGTACTCCCACAATAAAAGTTTTACCTAGAAAATAGAAGGGGGGGATTTTTTTTTTGGGTGGCAGTATTTATTTCAATTTATAGAAAAGGCATCAGCAAAGGGAACCTAAAATTAGGTTTGCCAGGATAGGAGATTTTTATTCCCCTCTCATCATGTAGCAGGTGACTCTGTGGTGTGAGTTTCTTCAAATATCATTTCCCTGTACAAGTGTTAATTGAACTTGGCGCTGTGCTGGGTAGTAGCATTGGAATAACTAAGGAATCTTAGTTTTAAGATGTGCTGGGGTGCAGTGCAGTTAAAAGAAAAATCATATTCAGTATTAATCTTTAATTCAGCAATAAAAGCAAGCAGTGCAGAAGTGGCATAAGTTTTTAAAGTATCAACATTACCTCACTAGACTTAATAGATATGCAAAACTGTCAGTATTATTGTTTTCTCACTAATTTGTCCTGTCTCCCAGCATTTCTGGTAGTATTAAAACAGCACTGGATATTTTACTGCCACCTGTATTATTTTCTGCATGTTGCTGAAAGATGTTAAGTAATAGTAATATGCAAGTGTATTCTTAATACTGACATCTTATTAGGCAAGATATGACGTTTTGGGTTTTTTAAATGATGACAATTGATGAATAATGGATTTTTAAACTTTCTTAATTTTTTTAATACTTTTTTCACAAGCTTTTAGTCTTTCCTGACTACACTGCTAAAGCACAAAACGTAGAGATTGCTGTTTTGGCGAGACAAGTGTTCACCTATTAGTCAGTTTTTTTCTCATATATGTACCTGGAATAATGGAAAAACTGTCAGAATTGCTAACCTGAGTCTCTGTGCTCTTCTTTCCACATTTGTGTGTAAATTTGAACCTTGTCTTTGAAAGGCTGAGCAGTCTCCAGTGGTGATGCTTTGTCATCTTATAGTAAATCAGAAATGGCAGGCTGAAGTTAACCTTCTGCTGTGCTGCTGTAAGGGGGTTTTCCTACATGTGTTGTAGGTCTCACTGCTTAGTGAAACCTGAATAAGGAAGTGTGCCCGAAATAGCTGCAAATCAAGCTTTTCTGCTTCTTTCCAACTCAATCCTTTTGTTCTAAGACTTGGCTAAGGACCTGTGACTGACAGCAGCGTTCTCAAGTGACATGGTAAGACTTATTGGGGTTCACCATTCACATTAGTGAAGTTCTCTGGAACCATTCGAGTGCTGCATTCCTGGAAATATTTCATTAGGTGCCTAAACATAAACTGGATTATTGTGCAAGTCCAGCCTCTACCCTTTGTGCTGTGCTTATAGATGATACTGCCATGGGCCTTGTGTACCTCCACTCCTGGGCACGCACTTTTTGGGATCTCAGTGAAGACAGGATGTTGTAACAGACAATGATGCTTATTCAAATGGAATGATTTAAGCTCCTAGAACACTTCTATCAGCCAGCAAATGAATGAACACAGAAGGAGACAATTGCTTGTACACAAACCTCATTGCCCAAAAAAGTCAATGAATTTCACTTGCCTAGGACAGGAAGAAAACACCAGGACCCTGCAACCTTCTACAACCAGTGAAAGGCTTTCTACCAGTTAGACTTCAGAAGGTCGAAGAAGAAAACTTTTCAAATGTATGACTCTTCTTTATCCAAGTTTACCATATCAATTACAGGGAGGCCTTTCCCATCCCTCCTTCTGTAAACTTTTCCACTCCTGTGTTCACAATAGGGATTTTTTTTAGTTAATGAATGAATTTGAAGAGAGGGAAATACTCTTTTAGTAGAAATTATTGTGTAATTTGACATCAGCTGCAGAGTTTCAGTTTTAAACTTTGTGCTGCCCAGTGTCTTGCGACCTAAACAATGTTTTTTTCATGTATTCCTTAGAATTTCTCATGCATAAAATGACGTGGAAAAACTTTTGATCAGCTGTATCCCATAGCACAAGATTATCTGATATGTGGCAAGTTTTTTCTATGAAACCATGGTTTACTTCAGCTCAAGTAATGTCTGTATATAGTTTTTACTATTGTCCAGCACAATTTATTTTCTCTTAACTTACACTGAAGCTTTTTAATGCTGTAGAGGTGTTTGACAAAGTGCTTTTGGTTCTTGTTTTGACGTTCAGCTGAAATATTCTCTTGAAATTTGCTTATGATGCCATTTGTCTTAAGTGTGGTTCAAGTGACAGCAAAGTGGTCAAATAGTGTAGAAAACATGCATGACTTTTTGGGCTTTTTTTCATCACTTGTATATGCACAGCATGAAACTTCAATAAAAATATCATTGTAGTCTTTTTTTTTTACTGACTTACGTTGTTTTTTTTTTTATTCTTGCTCTTAACACAGACTGTAAAAGTTGCTACAGTTGAACAATGTTTTTAGCTGTAACCTGGATGTACCCAGAAATTTGTTGCATCTGTTTAGATATGAGGTTCAGCTTTGAGATTACTCAGATACTTGCAATCAGACAGCACCCAGTATCAAAGAGGTAGTCAGCATTAACCTGACTGTTAACAGGTGAAAGAAATATCTTTAACTGATACTACCTAAGAGTAAAATAGCCCCCTCCAAATCTCAGCAATTTAAGCTGAATGTTTTAGGTTTTGAGGAACTTTTTTAATTCAGCTGGTTTTGTGATTACTACCACTGTACTTCCTGTGTTATTCTCAAGGCACAAAGTAATTGCAGTCGTTTGCCTGTAGTCAGGAAAAGGGAACAGAGATGAAAATTCTACAAGTGCTCCTGAGAGACAACTGCATCTGAATGTGATTTCATGAACATGGGTGGAGGTTTTCCAGCACTACACTGAAATGCAATTTTGTTACTTTTAAGTGGGTTCTACATACATATCCACATGTAGTTTGACCTGTTTTCAGCCCCTCTCAGTTTCCTATGCAGGAAGTCTTTGGTGTTTTTTTAATTACCTTGTAAATTGTCTTTTGCAAAGAATGTTTATGAGTCCATCATGAGAATAAATCTTGATCATGTAATACCTCAGGATCTGTCATTTCAAGATACAACCTGACATTTTTAAAATGGAAAAGAAACCCTGTCCTCCAGTTGTTCAACATATATGAAGCCTCATGATGTCAAGAACTGTTGTTTTTTTTTTTTTTGTTCTAGAATAGATTAATTAAGTTTCCTGTAAGGTAGCGTGCTCATTAAGGTTGGTTTTATTTCAAATATTTTTTAGAAGATTCCAATGAATGCTGCCCATATTTAAGCTTTTAGAATTTTAAGAAGCAAATTCCAAAAGCATAAATATTTGCCTTACTGCAAAGCTATCTTCTTCCTTTGAAAGTTCAATCTTGCAGCCTCTGCACTGACTACACTCTAAGCAAATTCCTTTGCAGATGTGTTTAGACAGAAGTGTCCAGAGCACCGTTGTACTAAGACATTATTTTCAGCTCATTATAGAATGTCACAGGCACACAAACACGTTCCCCTCTGATTGAAGAAGCACACAGTTCTCAGAACAGTCCTTTTTACTATGATTTACAATAAAAAACATTTACAACATCTCCATGAAAAATAATGCCATTTTGAGTCTGGCACAGATGTTTTCCTTTATCAAAGAGAAAGTCAATGCAAAATCTTTTCTTTTTTGCCTTAAAGACTTCATAAAGTAATTTGAACGTTTAAAAGAAAAAAAAAGTCTCTTTAAAAAGTCTACTTTACACAACACTAACAAATCTGCATGCAGGCAAAGTTATTTAAACCGAACCAGCAGTGCTTGAATTAACCTTTAAAAAAAAATAATAATCATCCCATGAAGAGAGAAGGTGAAGGTAACTTTACCTACACAAAAAGTCCTTTGGGTGTTACCGTTCAATAAGCCTGAACTCTGCTAGCAATGGCAGGTGGTCAGAAGAGTTATTTTCATTGGGAAGACCATTAACAGTCCAGAGATCTTTCTCTGTTAGAAGTGCCAGCCTGCCAAGAAGTTTCAGACCTCCATGAAAAGAATCCTCTGCTCCTGGTTAAAAAAACAAAACAAAACAAAACACAACAAAAGGAAATGTTCATCAGTGTGGGCTAATTATCACACATTCATACATATGTAGAAAAAGGAAAACAGTATGGGAGCAATAATCTGACGTTATTATTGTTCCATGCAAGATCACCATTAAGTTCAGAAATTCTTCTTGTTTACTATGACTTTCAGAGTAGAGCTTATAATCAGTAGAACTCCAAGTATTCAGAAGGACACTATTTTGTGGAGAGATAAATTGAGGTAAAAAAGAAAAGGGATGTATTTGTTCATTGTAACTCTCCTGAAAAAAGCCTCACATAATCCAGTCCTATACTTTAGCACAACAGCACTGCAAACAGAGCCAACCCTTGCAAAATTAATTATCTTTTTAGAGCTACTGATTCACATGACATTTTGTTTCTGTATTCTCAAGCACACAGTTCTCCAGCAGGCAGGTCATACAGAAACTCTTACTCATAAGGATGAAAGTCTTATAGCATTTCCCTTTCTAACTGTTCATCATAAGAAAGGGATCTTCCTCCATTATTTCCTGCTACCTATTTCTGTAATTGCCCCCCCTGATGAAACACCCTATTGCTCATGCAAGAGGGGAAGGTGACTCACAACCTTGTCTTTATTACAGAATTATATAGAGTGGTTTGGGTTGGAAGGGACCTTAGAGATCATCTCGTTCCAACGCCCTGCCAGAGGCAGGGACACTTTTCACTAGACCAGATTACTCAGAGCTGCATCCACCCTGGCCTTGAACACTTCCAGGGATGGGGCAGCCACAACTTCTCTGGGCAACCTGTTCCAGTGCTTCACCACCTCACTGTAAAGAATTTCTTCCTAGTATCTAATCTGAACCTACTCTCTTTCAGTTTAAAGCCATTCCATTGTGTCCTATCACTACCTGCCCTTGTACAGTGTCCCTCTCCAGAGCCTTCTCTTCTCCAGGCTGAACAACCCTGACTCTTACAGCCTGTCTTCACAGGAGAGGTGCTCCAACTCACTGATTATCTTTATGGCCTCCTCTGGATTCACTTCAACAGCTCCACATCCTCATGCTGGGGGTCACAGAGGTGGACACAGCACTCCAGGTGGGGTCTCATGAGAGTGGAGTAGAGGGGGACAATTACCTCCCTCGACCTGCTGACCACGCTGCTTTTGATGCAGCCCAACATACAGTTGGCTTTCTGGGCTGCAAGAGCACACTGCAGGACTGTGCTGAGCTTCTCATCAACCAGCACCCCCAAGTCCTTCTCCTCTGAGCTGCTCTCAATGCATTTATTCATCCCCGCCCTAATACTGGAGTTCTCCTGACCCAGGGGCACAACCTTGCACTTGGCCTTGTTGAACTCCCTGAGGTTTGCATGGGCCCACTTCAAGCCTGTCAATGTCACTCTGGATGACATCCCTTCCCTCAGTGTGTCAACTGCACCACACAGCTTGGTGTCATCAGCAAACCTGCTGAGGGTGCACTCGATCCCACTGTCCATGTTGCTGACAAAGGTGTTAGACAGCAACAGTCCCAATACTGATCCCTGAGGAATGCCACTCATCACTGGTCTCCACTTGGACATCGAGCCATTGATCCCAACTTTGTTTCCCACCAGTTCACAATGTGGTTCACCCATCAAATCCATCTCTCCAGCTGTCTTGCAGGACTGTGTAAAATGCTTTGCACAAATCCGGGTAGATGATATCAGTTGCTCTTCCCTTATCCACAACTACTGTAACCCTGCCAGAGAAGGCCACTAAATTTGTCAGGCACAATCTGCCCATCAGCAAAAAGCAACCTGCTTTTTCAACTCTGGTTAAGAAATTCCACTGAGATCCTTCCATGATGTGTCAAACTTTTAGACTTCTTAAGCTATGTAGTCAAGTGAGACAACTATTCAGCAACCCTAGCTACTGCTTTCGGAGTGCAGAGATGATACTGAGCCAAGCTGAGTGCCTTCAGGACCAGCACAAACAGCAGCTGTTAACTTTTGACAGAAATACTTTCTGTATGAAAGTGATCAGCAATTTCAGAACTTCCTGGCTGAGCCTGGTACTGGCTTACCATAAAACATACTTTAAAGGACTATCTAGCAACTGCTAAACTCCTCAGATCAACAGCTTCATCCTTTGCCATCTGCCAGCTTTCCAGCCCTCTAACAACCCAGCAGCTGTCAACTGCTGCTCTGAAGAAAAGCTTTATTACTGCAAAGATGTCTTGGCAGCTCCAGAGCACACATCCACCTGGGTCTTGAGTCAAATTTATCATCTGAGGCAGCACCTGCATGTCTACAAAGGAGCAGTTTGTCGCCACAGAGCTTGGTCTGCGTGCAGTGATTAATGTCAGCTCAGAACACTCTGGAACCAGCAAAACTCTGCTCTGCAGGACTCAGGTAGATACTGAACCCTGATTACATGCAAATCCTGAATACCAAACCAAATACTTGGCTAAGCATAACAGACTGAAGCACAAAAAATTTTCAAAAAAGCCCCTTTAAAAAAAAAAAACCAACAATCAGTCAACCACATTTAATAGTCACCTGTTCAGATAGTGGCAACTTTTAATACAGAGGCCCATTAAAAAACTGAAAATCCAGACCATTACTTAGTTTCTAAGACATAGTGACTAAAAACTATACCAGTTTAAACTACTTGGTAAATTCATTCCGTACTCTGATGTGGGGAGAAGAATCTATTTGAAAAACAAGTGAAGAAAGAAAAAAGTGCTGTTATCTCTTCTGGGGCAATGATAGTGCAACAAAATATATAAGCAGGTGAATTAGGATTACATTTTCTGCAGGAATGCACACTGAAATCACACCGCACTGTTAGAACACATGGCATTCAGAAGTCATTTAAATACTTCTCATACCTGTTTTTCAGTCAAAGCTTTTGTATTTACTGTTTTACATTAATACAGCATTTACTGTGCATGTTATGACAAATGAGACTTTCATGAACTGACTCAATCAATTTTAACAATCAGGTATGAGAGTTGAAGGTGGTATTTTAATTTTACATACTGAGAACAATGTTAATTTATAAAAATCAGTTGCAATCTACAGTGGGAGCAGGAATAGAATCCAGCTTTCATTGCTCTGAGTTCTGCAGAACCATTTATCTGATAGTGCTGCACTGTGGAATGACCTCTGTCGATGGCATAAAACACAGAACTAATGAGGGCATGGGAAGCACACTGCTCAGAAGTACCCACGGTTCGAGTACAAACACAGTAAAGGACAGATAAACACTGCGTTCCCCATCACGAAATTCCCGCAGAGATACCATGACTTTCTTGCACCATCTGGTGAGTTTTAGCTGCAACTGCAAACCAGAGAGGGACAACTGGGCATGTGCCAGTGACCATGCTCAGAGCAAAGGCCACGGAGTCTGTTACTTGACAGAAATTACATCAGGACAAGCTGAAAAGTTTTTCTTTGCCAAGAAACAGTTCGTTTATCAGTTTTAATGCACATCATAAGTTGCTGCTCAGCAGGCTGTTGATTAGATGACTGGAAATACTGCTTTGTTGTAGGTCTGGCCTGAGCTACTGACAGCAGTATTTCTCAGGTGCTACTTACATTGCTGCTTTTCTGTACCCTCGAGACTCCTCTCCATGATGACAACTACAGAGATGTTCAGTCAGGTAAAACGTTTGCCCTGTGTGGCACTACAGGTTCATCTGTGGTGAGCTGACAAGGCCAGCCACATTTCTCAGGGAGCAGCTGGCATTGAAAGCACCACCACGAACCTCTGAAGTACTTCATATGGATTGAATTATCACTACATTTCTCTTAATCTCATTTAGCATTTGTGGAAAATAATGAAAGGTTGGTTTCTTTACCTGGCTGGGCAGCAGCGTCATCGTTTGCTGCAGAATAGAAAATATAATCCACAGTGACAGCACTTCGGGAATGACAAGTTGTTACTTCTGGTACCCCAGTTTCAGGAAGGTAATGAGAGTAGACTGAAGACAATTTAAAATGGTGCCGCAATTTTGAAGACAACCTAAAGCGGAATCAAAGAAAATAATTTTGTTTTCTTGTGTGTCCTACAAGGTATAAGCAATGAAGAAATACCAAATAGTTCCTGGTTACAAACAAAATGAATTATCTGGATTATGCAAACCAGTGTTTCTCTCATGCAAGCAATAGCCTTTTGTGTGAGTGGCCTAAACCTCAGAAGGCAAAATTCAGGCAGTATTTTCAAGGCAGATAAAAGGCAGATACCTAAGAGCTTATCCAAACTGGCTTAACTGACACTTTAATTACAGGTAGCTTTCACCTCCATATACACTTTGTAAACATTCATGTGCTCTCATTCAGCAATATCTCCCTGACACACAGGTAGAGACATCCATGAAAGCAGCTTATATGAAAGCAACACTCATGCATGAACTCATCTAACCAGGCCCTTTAGCATATATAGAAATCAAGATTTTTAGCATTTTTTTTCTCCCCTAAAGCTACCAAGTGCTTCCAAATTAGGCTATGCCTAGTCATCTTTCCTCCACTCAGGCTCCCATTTTCTGTCTCCCGGTTACTTGCTTGCCTGTTCCTCTTCAGTTCAGCCCATCTTGCCTCACCTGTCTTTTCAATCTTGAAAGCAAACTGCATCTTCAGCAAAAGAACTCTCTCCCAGCCATTTGCTTCCATCATCTCTGCAAATCATCCATCCCTGAGCTGTACCTGCCTCATCTTGCATTTTAAACCTGAGCTGCAACGTGTTCTCGTTAAAAAACCAAGCAATTAAAAAAAAAAAATCAGCATGTTACCTGCCTGATTCAGAGAAGAGACAAACATGCCAGTTGGTACAACACAGGCAAGTAATAATTTCTGCTCTTGTTGCATGACATCCCTTTTAAGACGAGGGGAAAAAGCCCTGCAAGCAGCATTCAACACGTAGCATGCTATGGATTTACACCACAGCATAGGGCCTCCTGTCTTTTTATCTACTTCTTTACTCAGAAATGCCATTGCTCACCTTTTTCATCCCCAAGAATCACCAAGAGTTCTAATATAACTATCTGCAGTGATACCAAGATCTCACATCTGATAAGAAACAGCTAACTTGTAGCCTGACATCATACACATACAGTTAGGGCAATTTCCTTCTTCTGTGCCTTACTGTATAGAGTCACAGATTATTCGGAGTTGGAAGGGACCCACATGGATCATTGAGTCCAACTCCTAAGTGAATGGCCTGTAGGGGGATCAAACCTGTGACCTTGGCATTATCAGCACCATGCTCCAACCAACTCAGCTAATCTCAGTTGTTATATGCCTTTTCCAGTTTGGTAAGTGCAAGTATATTCTTCCTTTCAAAAAGCAGTTACGTTTTCCTTCCCAGCATTCTAGTCATGGTTTCCTCCTTCAGTTTAACAAGCAAATGTTTTGATCTGAGTGAGAGTTGTACTACCAAATCCATAATACTCCACACATTTCTGAGACTCAAAGAACTTAGATGCTCCCACAGAACTCCCAACAAGAAAGATTTTATGACCTCTCCAGTTCCTTTCCCTCCTTCATCCCAATTTCACATTGTAATACAGGATTTAATATAAGATTACAGAATCCATAAATCAGTGTCTCAAAAACAATAAAAGAGGGAAGTGCCAACACTTAAGCAGGTGGACACTTGATTATGTCAAGAAGTGACAAAAAAATGTCAAAAGCATTCCTTTAATAAGACAGAAAGTATCCTCTAAACAGCACTGACTCCTTGCCCCTGAATTCTGAAATAATATCTGCAAGTTCCTGAAAGAACACACACTCCATTATTTCCAGTTCTAGTCTTTTGCTGTCTGATCAGCCTTTTCATGTTTAAATGGACAATGGTTTTTTTCCAAAAGGGCAGACTGGGTTGGGTGAGCATCTTGTATCCACGTCTAGAATCAAATACAAGTTTGGTCTAAAATCAAAACCAACCCCCAAGTAACCAGCCAAGGTTTCCATATTTTTCCCTAACACATACTTTTCAGATGCTACTACAATCTCCTGAGTGTTGTCCAGTTTTGCTGCTTCCAATTTTTCTCCTGCAAAATAAAAATACATTCAATTTATATTTAAAAATAGGATATAGCTGAGACCAATACTGAAGAGCTACATAAAGAAAAGCCACAGAAAAAAAGTATCTGTAAGTACACTTATTTTTTTGCAGCAGGCAAGATACAATTCACAAGGCTGGATTGAATTCTTCTGTTCCATTAGTCAGATCCCCTCTAAAGACTCTTTCAAATTATGTCCCATTCATTTAAAATTGTTTTTTCCGTCAAAGAAAAAAATGGTGGATGAAAAATATAGCAATTTTCCCAAAATTTTTTTCCCAAAATTTTCCCAATTGCTCCATAAAGTGCCAACACCATAACACATACACACTGAAGCAGAATGTAGGTTCACACCACGTACATGTGCCGCATTCCTTTGTCTCTCTCTTCCCAGTCACAGCACAACTGGCTTTCATGATGCAAATACAGGAGTTTAAATATTATGCATCGAGTCCTGAATGGCAATTTCTAACTATTATCTTCTAAAGATTCAACTTTGCAAATGTTTATGTGAATAAATCACTTTACACTCCAATGAGCCCAACAAGTAAGTTTTGCAAGCTCAAGACTCACTGTTCTTTCCCCACTAGAAGAGAACATCTGTTTTTCAGTGCTACCTGAATAATATTTTTAAAGGTTCACAAAATTTGTCAACCCAGAAACTGACCTGCATTTTCTTCTTTTTGTTGCTGTTTTATTTCATATACACAGTTTTGTGAAATACCTAATTTTTTTGGCCAAATAGGGATAGATAAGATTCTTTGTCCCCTTGGAAACTGTTCTTGTCCAGAGACCTGAGAAAGACAACATGAGCTTTTTTTTAGACAGAAATCTTACTTAAAAAATAAAGAACTCCAAACAAACCTGAAATAAGTGAACATTTTTTGTAAAGTTCAAAGCAAAAAAAAAAAAAGACCCAGCCCCTTAGAATAAATCTTTTATAAAGGCTTGCCAAATCCCTGTAAAAATACCACCCTTTATGTACATCCTCTTTGTTTATGCTCTGCAAGTTCTTTGCAGCTACCCAGTTTTTCCAGATAGTTCTTGTGACAATGAGAGACTACCCAAGAACATTTTTAGCAACATGACAGGACTGGCTGAGCATATAGAGCTCCCTAGCTGACACTTACTTTAGCTTCAAGATGCTTATTCTTCTGGGAGCAAGTCAAGTCAAAGAGGGGCTGGAAACAACTTCCCACTAGCAAAGAACACCAGTGGGGGTATTATTTTGTTGTGTTTTCTCATTGTACATGTTCCAGTTACTTGCTGATAAATAGCATGTGACACATCCAACAGCTAGATACAAGAGCTCACAACAAGACATCATTTAACATAAAACAGTTGAGGTTCAGCATCTAATTGCATTTCTGCTCTTACAATTATTCCAGACACCAAGTTTATCTAAAGGAAGAGTCATCCTCCCATGGAGTCCACAGTAGGTATTTGATTAAGTAGTTATTTTATCCTACTTAAAGACTGGGACACAAACATAGTGATACAATCATCCTGTGGATAACTACATTTCAGGAACAACTGTTGCTGAGTTTTGCCTTTCAGAATACTGGAAGTGGAAACAATATTTTGTAAGGCACAGTTAATACACCCAAGCTTATTTAAGTAACTCCACAGTAACTTTTGCTTTGAAGGCTGTGTAGAGGGCACTAAGATAGGCACTGCAATGGAAATGATCAGAGATACTGCATGCTAGCACCACTCAAATATTTCTCTTCTTAATTTTTTCCTTGGTGAGAAGTGAGAAGCATGGCCTACCTTCCCTATAGCAAGTCCTTCATAATTTAACTTTCCTTCCTTTATAAATCTGTACAGTGGAGAACCAGGAACAGAATTGAAGTCACCACAGATGATAATTGGGCAGAAGGAACCATCCTTCTGAGGGGCGACACTCGCGATCTCTGCCAGGAGCATTGCCAGCTGGGTCAGTTTGATGTCCCCTCGCCTGGGGTTGTACAGCAGATGTGTGTTGGCAACACAGATTGCAGCATTAGTTTTACAGTGAAATCTAGGCTGCAAAAGCAACACCAGTCCAACGTTGTCCCTGTCCAAGAGTGGAATATCACGGCGAAAGAATTCCACGGGGTTAGATGAAATCAGGCTAAATTTGGAAGTTTTGAAGCAAATAGCGCAGCCATCAGGTTTTCTGCCTGTCCTCATTTTATACTCACAGTGATACCCTGCAAGAAAGGCAATTAAAAACATAAAATACCATAGTAAAAATAGAGATTTTAAAACAAAAAAATTAGGAACACCTCATGCTACTTTTCTCACGACAGCCAACAGTCAGTCTGAAGTACCAAAGCCTACATGAAGTTCACATAGAAAAATGAACACAAAAGTCTTTCTGTCCTATCTAAACTGAAGTGAGATGGGACAGGACGCCTGGTCTAATACCTTTTGTGATGTATAAGCATCTACATACATTAGGATACCAGCCATGTTCTTCTCTCCTCATGTGGAAAAAGCTCAAAACAAAACAACAAAAAAACCCCACAAGTCACATAAAAGTGGACTTGTGTATTGAAGATTTTTCTGGATGTTTACCAGAATGGTTTCGGAATAATACCAGTGAAGCATTCCAATCAAAAACCTTAATCACTCTAAGTCATAAATCAATGTCTAAAATCATTCCCAGAACAAAGGTCTCGAACACATTTACAAAATTATGCAATTATCCAGTTAGCAGCAAGTGGCAGGCTTTCAACAGGGAAACTGAGACACTTGTCAATGACAGCATTGGAGTTCAAACAAGTCCACCTAAAAATAGTGATTTGCCAATTTCTTCACTTTATGTAGAGATGAAACGTAGATATAAATGAGATCTTATCTATGTAAGGAAAAAAAATTAAATCTTGAACCAATGTCTAGTTTTTTTTGCCATTTTGAAATACTTCTCTGTCCTGCCCATACCATATGAATTCACTTAGTACAACCTCGGTGAAGTGGGGCAAGTTGACCTCTAAGTTCATACCAGTGCTGGAACAGGGGATTCCCACTCCCCTCTCCCAGCTTCAGGCCATGTTGCTCCTGCCACTTGTTGTGGCACTTTAGTCTGGATAGTAGACTTGATTCTATAATCTAAGAAAGGTTTTTTGGAGGAAAATAGTACTGGGGCAGGGGAGAAGACGATGTTTTGGTCCTAGGAGTTTCATCATACCCAGGGATTCCAAACTTGACTTGATCTCTGTTCTGTAGTGGTCTTCTTGGACTTCTTGTAAACAGAGCACCTAAGGCAAAAGTTTACAATTAAAATATATTATTAAGTACATCAAAATATTACCATAGCATATCTCTATGTTTTTTGGCCAGTCTGAATAGGTATTAAAACAAATAAATCAGAAGCTTTTTGACTCCATAATCCCACAATAGGATTCACTCTCCTATAGAAAATGCTCCTCAAAATTATGAAGAGGGCTCCAAGTTCCCCCACCCTTTCTCAGACATATATTTTCAGATGTGAGATTAAATTTAATCAAAATAATGACCTGCTGATACATTCTCAGCAGTAAAGGGGAGGGCTAAGTGTTAGAGTGGTGGGATGAAGAAGCCAATGGCACACTACAGAGTGGACAAGCAGCTTCCATGTTACAAGAACCCGAACCAAAGATCAACCTCAAAATATTCTATTAGGAGAGTTCTGAGCCTTCTGCCTTGCACATTGCATAAGACACAGATTTACAACCCCCTTGGGACTGTGATGAAGGACTGAGTTCCCAAAGGGTAACAAGTAACCCCTGCTTGCTGAACTGCAGCAACAGACTCCACTCACCCAGCTGACACTAGCTCATTCAAGGGCTCAAGGGAGAGCCAAACCTCAAGCAATATTCTGAAGTCTCTGCTTCACTTTCAGGTTACAATTCAAACCAATGAAACAGTTAAAAATCTATGTGCTTTAGCAAGAAATTTCTCTGTGGAAAGGGCACCTGCAACTACCAGGGTCTAAGAGCAGCTGCTCACCATGACTAGTGCATGCAGTACAGGGCATCACCTCTTTACCCCAGCGCTGTGCTCTGTGGCTCTGCAGACTTTAGCAAGTACCCTGAACTGAACTGCTCTTGGCTGGAAGGACTGGCTTCAGCTCCAACCCTTCTCTCCTGAAGAATTGTCTTGTTGCCTCTAATAGTACCAGGCAGATCCTCACCAAAGTCCCTCTGCCTGATGCTCCTCTCAGAAAGCCCTCTAAGGTATGTCACTGTAAAGATATATGTATATATATATATACACAGTATGTATAAATTTATTAGGAAGAAATGAAGAGCGTGAAGGGGACTTTAATTTCCAGATTCCTGGCTACGGACCAACATAACTGCATTTTTCAATTTTTCAAGGCTGTTTTTCTGTGATTTCTCTAATACAACTACAGTACTGTTTTCTAGCACAAACAGGTTGGATTCTATCACTGAACTTTTGCTGGTCTGAATAATGACTGAAGCAAAAAGTTTACTGACTTGATTTCCTGATTAAGACTAACAATGAGTAATGTGTCCTCAAAACCAAACAAAAAACTCCAACCAACAAACAAAAACCAAACTAACCAAACCCAAAGCAAAGTGTTCTGCCAGACCCCAATATAAAGAGAATTTGCTACTCCAGTTTATCAGTTCTTAAGAAATATCCACATGCTCATTTTCTACTCACATCTGCATCCAGCTGTTTGATTTCTTGTAGAATGTTGGGAAATCTGTATGTCCAAAATAACAATCGTTGCCTGCAGTGTTTGTACAGGTGAGAGTTGTCTTCCAACAAATTCTGTGAGAGAATATTGTAGGACATGACCGTAAAGTCAAACGTTGCCTCACTTCCTTTATTGCTTTGGTCAGATTCTTTATTTTCAGAGATTTTCATTGTTCTACTCTGCTGACAGAAATATTCCCAGTGTCTTTTGATGGTTCCTGTTAAAAGACAGAAAAAAGTTATGTAATGGACCATATGACTTCTTACCGCTCTTAGAAATCATTCTATTGACAACTATTAGTCTTTCAAATTGCTTCAGCAATTCTAAAAGCTTATTTGATGAGCAGTGATTTAGACCCTCTGTTTAAGATGAACTTTATATAAGCATCAGTAAAAAAAACAAAACAAAACAAAAAAAATCAAACAAACAAAAAAACCCAAGCCCAAAATACAGCACAAAACCACTTTATGCCCTGGATTTCAACTGCTTTGAAACTGGGAAACTGGCCCCATTCTAAGGAGATTGTTGCAGTCACACAAAAGCCCCCTGCTCCCTGTAGAAGGGCTGTCAAACTGGTAAGCCAAATCCAGTCTGTTGAGAGACTTATGCTGCCTTCTGCCACTACCTCCTCAGCAGAGACGGTGTATGTCAGTCTAGGATGCACTCTTTGGAGCAGCATATGGGCATCTTGTTGATCCCTCTATCCATGGCTAACAAAGGGTTAGCAGTCAATCAATCAATCACCTCTAGCCTCTGTACAGACTGTAAACTTCAGCCATAAACTGCAACAGGGTACACTACAGGGATCCCAAAACAAATAATGCACCCAACCTTCCTCAGTGAGGTTGGGAAATTAAAAAATTAACAAGCCTCAGAATTACCAAGAACTTCTGAAAAGGCTTCCTTTGCCTTTCTGCCATTTCTAATTTCATACTTATTATTAGTATCAAGATATGAAAATTTATAATCACATAAGTGCCCATCATTAAGAATCCAATTACTTTTTAAGATATGTATTTCTCCACTTACAAAACTCATGCACAGAGATGCCTTTCACCCTTTATATCTGAACTCATGTGAGAGCAAGTGAAGGTCCAGTTACCCATGATACCAACCAGTGGCAGACTGCAGCTATAGCTGTCACCATCTGCCCTGTTTGGGTAGTAAATCTCATCAGTGTGCTTACGTTATTCAGGACTTTATCTAGTGTTTGCAATGAATACAGCAAGGCTTTAAGTACTGTTTCTACTGTGGGAGAGAAGCCCCACTGCTCCTCAGCAGGCATCTTTAATTACCATCACCTTACAATATGTGAACAAAAGGAACACAATGCTAACCATGCTCTCAGATAAAGGTATGTCAGTGAGGGTTAAGAGAGGACTCAGCAGTTTAGGCACAAAGCAAACTCCCTTCTTTCAGCTGGTAAAGATGGATATGATGTTTCTAAGCCTTATGGATATTTGTGTAGAAAATTCCCTTCAGGATGCTGATAGCATCTGTTGCCCTTTTCAGTTGTAATATACCTTCCAGTTTATTTTGCTAAGGAAGTGATTTATACAAGTGGGCCATATTTTGTCTGTGTCCCTCAATTTGCTCTACAGTAGACAAAACTGTTAATATACACAAAACTCGGTAAAATACTTGGATGCTATGTAGAGGGTTGTATCTGTAATAAGGTAACACAGACACTGAAGTCTCATTAAAGTCTGCTACTGAGCTGGGTAGACAACTCTGCGCTTCCTACTGTATTTATCTGGATAAATGCACTTGCTGCTTGCTCTGCCACATGTGGTCTGACACAAAACTTGCGAACATGCCAGTGGCAGAATACAGTTGTAAATACAAAAATCACACAATCACACTGGAAGCAAACACCATTAAACCTCAGTCTATTAATTCTCGGTTATCTAGGTCATAGGTAACTCAACTGGTCTGGAAAGAAACCATTTCAGGTCCAGCAGGGCTGATGAGCTCAGCTAGAGTACAAGGAACGAAGCTACACAACTGCCAGCCCATCTCAGCCCTACAGCAAGTCAGCCAAATCTTTGCTTTTACAGAGTTCCCAAGTTAACAGACTTGATCTGGTGACAGACATCTGAGTGTTCTTTGAACCAAGCTCAGGACTCCCCACGTTGGGCAATCCCTTACCCAGCTGACTGTGTTCTACTGCCAGATGAAGAGAAACTAGTTCTAGTAAACTGTTTGACAGCACAAAATACAAGTTTACAGACCAAACAGCATTACAAAACTGGAACATTTTCAAGACAGATGTTTTCCCGAGAGGGGTGCCAAGAAAAAGAGTAACTAAAAAGGAGCCCGCAATATTGCTAAAAACTCCTTAGGTGTATTTAGCATTACAAATAAACAAGGAAAATGAGCAAAAAGCATCTTTTACCTTTCTTGCTGCTATGTTTTTCTTCATTCTGTGCTACAGAAAGACACGATGCTTCCTTTTCGTTAGAGAAGTTCGTTTCCTCTTCAGAAGTTGAAGTATCATGCTGGCCACTGAGTCTTCTCTTCTTTGTCAATGGTTCTTCTCCCTCAGGTTTCATACTGGGGTTAGGTAGGTGAAAGCAACAACTTTGCGTGTAGTTATCAAGATGCCAATTAGAGTTCTGAAACTGTCTCCAAGGTCCAAGAAATGGAGGGAGTCTCCAGTTTGCTGAGAAATCAGCTGGGATAGGAAGTGGAAAGGAGGCCCAGGGAGGATAGTGTCCGGCCCATCTCATACAGCTGGAAACTGGGCTGTTCAAGGCGAGGATCTGGGAGCCATTCCAGTGGGTGATCCAGTCTCTGCCCAGCCTCTGCACATGGCGGGGCAGCATGGAGTGTCTACCAAAAAAGCAGAGGTTTCATTACTTGCACGCAGCTACATCTGCCTGTAGAAGGCTGCAGATGCAAGTCATCCTGGTCATGGCTTACAAAAGATATTCCTTCTCAATAAGTTAACACACAAAAGATATTCAAACCTTTTTAGATATATACAAGATACTTAAACATTTATCTAAATGATATGCAAAGTGGGACTTTACAAAGTGATCTTGCATCCTTTTTCCCGCCTTCAGATTTATAAATACCATTTAGTGTCCAAGCCCTATCCATCTGAATAACTATTTATTTTCTGCCTTATTGAATTCAACTGTCAGATATTTCAAGCACTCAGAAGAATGACCTTTAGAAAAGGTCGTTTTTGCATGCTGCATTAACTTTATCATAAGGTTATATGAAAGAAATGAGAAAACCACTTTCCTTCAAGCTGTTAGAAAGCCACTGACTTGGCTCAAACCACAATGCCAACACAACAGGGAAATAAAGGTACTAACTCTCATGGCATCTCTGGCACCAGCTTAAAACTTAATTTGTATTCTCATTTCTTTTCCAGGAGGGCAAACCACAGCTTAGCTATTAAAACAATGAAAATAAGGTGGGTGGGAGTTCTTTGTGGTGTTGTTTTTGTTTTTGTTTTTGTTTTTTTTCCCAGAAGAAAAAAAATAATCTGTCTCAACAAAATTGCAGGGAGAAAGGCTGAGTGACAATAATCTGTTTTAGCTTCCTCATTGTTTAAATAAGAAGGTGTATTTTGCCCTTAAAAGCAAAAGATAACAAAGGTTGATATGTCTGAAGTTGAACTGAACTGAGAACCTCCCAGCTGCCATTCAGCCTAGCAAATAAACTGAAAATACAGAATCACAGAATACTCTGAGTTGGAAGGGACCCACAAGGATCGAGTCCAACTTCTGGTCCTACACAGGACACCCCAAGAATCTCCCAATGTGCCCAAGAGCATTGCCCAAACACTTCTTGAACTCTGTCAGGCTTGATGCTGTGACCACTTCCCTGGGGAGCCTGTTCCAGTACCCAACCACCCTTTGGGTGAAGAACCTTTTCCTAATATCCAACCTAAACCTTCCCTGACACAACTTCAGGCCATTCCCTCAGTCCTGTCACCGGTTACCACAGAGAAGAGATCAGTGCCTGCCCCTCCTCTTCCCCTCATGAGGAAGTTGTGACTGCCATGAGGTCTCCCCTCAGTCTGAACAGACCAAGTAATTTCAGCTGCTCCTCATACGGCTTCCCCTCAAGGCCCTTCACCATCTTCGTTGCCCCCCTTTGGACACTAATAGCCAATACAACTTCCAACAAAACCAGCTTGTCCTGGAACAGGCTATTTCCGCCACCGCGCATCACATGCAGCCCGACAGACATATAAGCAAAACACACCCCCGGACACCACGGCAGTACGATGGAGCAGAAAGCGGCGCCGCTCCTTTACAAAAGCCTCCTGAAACATCTCTTTTACGGAAAAGCGCCGAGAAACTGCCCGCTTCCAAAACCCCGGCCCCACCGCCGCCTACCCCCGGCAGCGGAACGCCCCAGCCCGCGCTGTGTTTTGTTTACCGCGGCCCTGCCCGGCCTAATGGCGGGTGTTTGAAACCAGCGCCCCCCGAGCCCCGTTACCTCCCGGCGGGCCCAGGCGCGGGCCCGGCCCAGGGGGGCCCCGCTACGGGCCCCGCGCAGCCCCGGCGTCCCCCGAAGGGGTCACCCCAGGGCAGCGCCAGCTCCGCCCGCCGCGCTCCCGGCCGCCCCGCCGCCTCATACCCCGCTCGGGCGGCGGCCGCGCCCTCCCGCTCGCTCCTGGGACTTGTAGTCCGAGGGCCGGGCCCGCGGCCATGTCTGGTCCGGGAAGCCGACGCCGAGGCCCGGCCGCCATCCCGGCCCCGGAGCCCGCGCTCTGCTCTCGGTGCCGCTCCGCGGCAGCGCCCGCTCCAGAGCGCAGCAAAATCGCCACGTAGGCAGCTCGACTAAAGGCTTTTGAAGCATTTAAATGGACGTAAAACTGTGATCGTCCAGTGGTTTCTTCATTCAGAGGGTGGTTGGGCGCTGGAACAGGCTCCCCCAGGGAAGTGGTCATAGCAGCAAACCTGACGGAGTTCAAGAAGCGTCTCGACGGTATTGTCAGGCACCTGGTGTGACTTTTGGGAATGCTCCTGTGCAGGGCTAAGGGTTGGACTCGATGATTCTTGTGGGTCCCTTCCAACTCAGCATATTCTGTGATTCTCTGATAGTTTCAATAGGCAGTCTTCTCCCTGGGATCACCGTGTGTCCCTGTAGGGTCAAAGGGACTTAAGGAAGAACAGCCGTATGTTTGGAGGTGCTGTGTCAGTGCTGCAGCACCTTGCTCACTGTTTGCAGAAAAAAACCCAAAACCCACTCACCTGAGATAGTATTTTAACGTTCTCAGGTTTTAAAATGCACCTGAAGGTGCTCTGCCGAGGAGACCTGCCTGCCCTGCAGACACCACGGAAAGACACACCGCTGCTTACCAGCTGCATAAGCAATCCTCTGTGTCTGTCGATGATGCTTGAATAAGCTGTTAAAATGCTTTCTTGAGGTCTTCTGAGGACAGAGTAAATGCTGGCTCTGTTTACTGTAAGGAAACGTAGTACAACACATGAAAAATTATAGTGCTGAATAGTGCAGATGCTGCACAGGAACTGTAATCAAGTAAAATACTGTTTTTCTGCATTCCTTTTATTTGTGTCATAAAAGTGACTTTAAATAACATTTGATGTTTTTCCAGGAGTGGTAGGGAAGACTGGAACAGGAATAATGTAGTGATGTTAAGAGCGTGCTACTTAGACAATTTGTCAAATCCGCTTTAGGTTTTCCATTTCTTGGACACAAGTTACTGGCAAAAAGTAAAAATACCCATCCATTTTCTGTTACTTTCTTTACAATGTAATAAGAGAGCAGAGCTACTAGTCACATAATACAGAGGTAGTCAAAGATCTCCCAACTGTATTTTCAAGACCTACTTATTTTTGTTGTTTGTTCTTCCCTGCATTTTTGAATTATTCTTATGTATTACATATATTTTTAAGAAAAAAGACAGCCATAGCTATAGGAACAACAACAACTGCTGTTATTTTTAGGAGAAGACTTCACATAGAATGGAGTTATTTTCTGTATTTTGAGCTGCACAAGTCACTCAAGTTTCTCTATCACTTCAAAAGTTTTTACACAGTAGCAATTCCAGTAGCAAAGTGTCAGTAGTGAAGGACTGAAGCTTTGGGGTTTTTTAAGGAAAGCCTTAATGAAAAGGAAGATATGCTGATAAGCATGACAGTTAATTGTGTAACAGACAAAATATTAGATAAGAAAAAAATTAACTTATTACTATGATGCAAATTGTCTCTCATCTGAGTGATGATTTTATTTTCTGATTTTGATGAGAGATTTTATTTTCTTGCCTTGACCTAGGAAAGTCTTAATAAGCCAGGAACACTTAATTGTGGATTACTCTAATTATTATTTTGTGTATCTCGGTTGGCTATACCATGTGAAAAGATATTGTTCAAAATTAGGTATCTTCAAATTCTGATTTGTAAGTAGAAGCCAAATTATTTTATGAGTCATTTGAGCTTCTGTAACTCTCTAGCGAATGAATGCTACTGACTCACCGAGGGATGCTTTGATTGATTACACTGCACATAAGAACAGCCACAGTGGTTCAGATCAATGGTCCACTGAGCTCAGTTGCCTGTTTTCCAAATGCAGTTAGCAGCAGATGCCTAGAAATGTGCAGGGGCTGGGCAAACTTCAAATGAACACTCTCCCTGTCTCTAGCTGTTTTCAGCTCAGTACATTTCCTAAGCCTGATATGTTTGTCTCTTTAGTTACTCAGTGACTCTCTCCCCCAAGGACTTGAATTTGCAAACTTTTTGCATCAGGAACATTCTTTGACAAGAGTCCTGCAGGTCTGCTTTATTATTATTAATTTTATGACCTCATTCATATCAGCTTCACTGGCCTCGGGTTCTTGTGTTAAGAGAGACTGAACAGTCCATCCCCATCCACCTTCTCCATGCCACTCATGATTTCACAGAGCACTACCATGTCCCCCCACATTATTCCTTCTTCCATGCTGAAAAATTTCAGACTACTCTATTGCTCTGCATGAAGATCTCTGTTACTTTTTATTGCCCTTCTTCATTCAGCCATGAATTTACACAGTTTCAATATACTGTTCTCTGTCTTGTTCTTCACTCCCACTTCTTCTCCCTTCCTACTCCCACCAAATTGCTAACTTTTGAGTTAGACAGCATTTCAGGATGGATTTTTTTTCTCGGAGGATGCAGCAGTTGGCTATTGAAATTTAAATGAGATCTATTATATAATTCAGCAGTGATTTGTCAATGATGGTTTCAGTCCCATTGATTTCTGTTTATACCATTAAAACCTCACAACTGCCGTATCTTATGAGGCATTACAAGCAAGTGTGGTTTCATAAGCAAATTTTTATCAGAACTAGTTGTCTAATCATGTTATTACACTAGAAGGTTCTACAAGTAATTGATATCTTCATATGGTATCAATTAGTACATTGTGCTAGAAAATGCTCCTTGCTTACTTGAGCAAGTGCATTTTCAACCAGCTGTTTGTTTTTGGATATGACACCACTACATCTGTAGCTGCAAGTTCCTATAGATAAAGTTAGAGAAGATGAAAATTAAAAAGTATTCTTGAGGTCATTCTGTTCAACCCCTTCATTTCACATCCTCAGCTTAGGTCACCTCACTCGTACATTAAAATTACTCCAAACAGAAGATCTCTTCCTGTGAAGTCTCTTCCAATGAAACTTCAACTGCATCGTCATTGGTATAAGAAAACAGTCACTATCAAATGGAGTTTGATGTGTATCTTTTAGCTTTTTGAATTAGAAACTTGCTTTGCAAGAATGATGATCAAGACCAAATTATCTCAGAGGTACTTTTTTTGATAACATATAATTTCCATGAAGTTCTGTGTGCTGACACCTTGCCAAAAGATGTAAAAGATGCTCTTTCTTTCTCAGAAGACTGAGAGTGGCAAGTGAGCTGCTGACATCAATGTTCTCTTTCTTCCCCCTTCCTTAAGAAAATGTTCCTCATGCAAAACAGACTAGACTTATCAAGCAATTTTTAGAGATAAAAAGGATGAAGAATCTTTCTAATAACTTGGTAGCTGGCAATTTCAAAGTAATTAAAAAAAGAGAGTCAGGATGCTATGAAACTCCCATTTGGACTATTTCTGTCCTATGACATGTTAGGAAGAGTCATTATGTTCTCACACAGAAAATGACCTTTCTCTAGGAGAGCACGCAGCTGTGTGTGGATGCTAGAACATGTCAATGTGGACCTCCTCTGATGTGACTTTGCTGGGCTCTCCAGGATTATCAAATCAACTGTTCTGTGTCAGACTAGCACTGGGAGGGGAATGGCTGGTCCACTCATGCCTGCCTCCCTGACTCTGTGTTTGCAGAACCTATTTCCATTGTACTGAGATATGAATTGAGTGAGGGCAGTGTATGAATTGAGTGAGGGCACTAGGAATAAACACTGAGGTGAAACAGTGGCAGTACTTCCAAACAGCATCACACTGAAACTGCTTAGAAAGACTCATTGGTGAGCTTGTGCTTCCAGATCTGTAGAAGCAAATCAGGTCTGGAACTCAGAAGATGAATGTCGTTATAGAAGACAACCTTTCATTTACCTAGTAATAATTTGGAATGTTGAAAAGATTCACAATGCAGCTTAGTCACCCTCAAAGGAGAGACACTTGCATACTATGAGCTTCAGTACAAAACTCTCATCTTTTACAAAGACATGCAACTAAGTATTTTCTTTAAGTCAAAGACTGTAATGCTGGGGGTATCCCTGAGCTGGACTTGATCCATAGCTGAACTTTCCAACCTGATATTATATTTAGCCTAGTATTGTATTTAGCCATATATCTTCTTATTAACCAAGATGCTATATAATCCTTAATAATGCTTTAAGAGTAGACATTTATGTTTGTTAGCACAGCATAGTATTAATAATTAGTAAGGTCTGTATGGTTATAAATGTGCCTTTTTTTCCAGTCAAGGCCATGAAAGCAGTAGGCCTCCATGCTCGCAGCTGGTTCATATTTGAGATATAAATGTAGCCATAGTTCTGTACTTAGAGACTAGTCAAGGCCATGGGGCATTTGACAGTAGTTGGTCCAAACTGATTCCCTGATTTTGCCCTGGGCCCTCGCCAGGCTACAGGGGAAAACTAGGGAGAGAATAAAGCCAGATTGTTTTCCGCACAAACTGAGTGATGTAAGCTTGTTTAACGCTACATAAGCTGGACCCTCTCACAGCAAAGATGGAGGCCTCTCCTGCAAGTGGTCGCACGTAGGATTTCCCAGTTAGCGGAAAGACATTCTCCAGACCTTTGCCTGTGATCGAGGCCTCCCCAGCTGAAGTGCGATCTGGATGATGGTAAAGTACTGGTGATGTATCTCTCTCTGAATCACTATAAGATTTTCTTTGTAGTAATGATTAGATGCATTGCTAAGTGTATCCTCTCATAAGCCGCTGTTTCTTTTGTACTTTACTGTTTTGCACTACAGTAAACTTATACACTTATTCTTTAAAGCTGGTGTCTGTGTTCCTTAAATCCACCCTCGTTGCCAAGTCAAAACAGATTGGCAAAACAAACACCTGCATGAGATCAGAGATATTAATAACCTGGTAATGAAAAGCTGATTTTTTAACATCTTCAATTAAATGAATGAAAACACAGTGATGAAAAGAATAATCTTAACAGGTTATATAATCTTAAGTGTGAGATCTACATTGGTACAGATCCCACTACAGACAAGAAATCAAAGGTAATCTTACGAAAGGAGAACATCTTGCGATACAAAATTGTGCTCCTTAGAACTGAAGGAATGCACCTCAAATGCTGAAGGGTTTCCTCATGCCGAAGTGTTCTACAGACGGGTGTG